TCTCAGTATGTGGTGTTGTTTCTGCCGACAAACTTGGTGTCGGCTAACAATGGTTTTTTGTAGAATTGGCTTCCTCGGTGCTGCTTGTTGAACGTGGATTGATAAAGACCGCGCTAATGGAGCAAGGTGGCGTGTTAGTATCGGTTGACGTTTTCGGACTTTGCTGGTATCCAGTATTATGCAAAAGTCTTAGGCGTAATTCTGGCGGACCCCTTTTTCTATTATCCTTCCACGACTGCAATATGTAGGTAGTCTGGTCCAAGTGGGATGGAGTGAGTGGGTTAGTAACCATGAAGTAAGTAGTCGGGTATTTGGGAATGCATCGAACACGAACTCGCTTGCGCATCGAACCCAGCTCAATAGGCTTCGTTGGTTAGGACACGTCTTGCGTATGTCCGACGGTCGCCTACCACAGCGCGCCTTATTCGCTGTGGCTGTTGTAGGCTGGAAAAAGCCGCGTGCAGGCCTGCAGATGAGTTGGAGACGAGGTATGAAGAAATGCATTGAGCGATTAGGTAAAATAGGTGTCTCTCGTCTTCCGGGATGGGATTCAAAAGACTCCGAAACCGCATGGTTGGAGACACTGAAGGTCACGGCTCCGAACCGACAGCAATGGCGATCATACTGTCACTTCTTATCAGACCACAATGGTTAAAATAGTATTTATGCACAGTTATGTTGTGTACGTTGTGTGTTGACCATAGAGGTTCGCTTTCTTTTCCCGTCCCTAAAATTAAGTCCAATTCCTATCCACCTTAAACATTCTCATTTTCCTTGTATGCAATGAGTTTGGCAGCGATCAGTGAAGTTCCATTCACTGTATTACGCTGTACAATGATGATGATGATGACACAAAACTTTGAAAAAGAACAGCTGAACACCAAGTCGGACGGTATTGTGCGCCGCATTCATACATGTATGCGAGCGAGCACAGAATAAACACGATATCAAATGAAGCTCGAAAATGTTATCTTCAAATCGATGCGCAACCGTTCGGACTTTCACAGGCGTTCAGTTGTATTTTCTCCAATTGCAGACGAGTTATTGTCCTCTGGAATAGATTCAGAATTAGAATAAATCGAACATGAAAATGCTGGGTATGAAATGGGGGTATTACACCAAATGTGATGTATGTGCTACAGTACACTGTACAAACCGAAAATCCGGTATCTTTGACCAATCTAATCGAATATTATGCCAATCATTTCCGTGAACCGACCCATCTGATTTAAAACCAGACTTTTTGCGAAGTACTCGACCCCTCAGAAATCTTATGGGACTATTTCTGCTCACGGGCGGAGTACAAATCCAACTGTGCATAAGTAAATGGTCGAGGCCACTATCCATATGACTAAGATTGGAAGTTTGGATAGATTATATTTTGTTTTCAATTTTGAACCGCTTGAATGAGGATGTCGAGGTGGAACGACATAATGAAAGCCATTCGATTTCAGTTAATCATAGTTTTACTTGGCGCTGAAATGATCGGTGATGCGGCGTGTATAACCCCTTCTAGACTCAAAATTATGATGAATGCAACAAGAATGAAATCAGAATTAGATCTGTGATAATAGACATAAATAATCACCAAGGAGTAGTTCTTATACAACAATACACCACACTAGTCAGCGTACACTCGTTGCCCAAATTCCGATTAAATCAGCAATGTATTCCGCTTGGAAGGTGGACGAATTTTGTGGATGCAATGACCGCATGACTTAGCCACTGGACATAAATCACAGTCTGGCTCCGATTAGCAATCTGTGAAGATTTCATTTTCTCGATGTCTAGATGTACCCAATGTAAATTGCTCATCACTGTGCAATGTACGCACGGAGGTTGAAAGGTTCCGTCGCTAACGGACAAAATTCTAACGGCATTTGCAAAACTCCGGAAATCGACGCTAGTGTTCAGCTCCATATCTTTATCGACTGCACGAAAGAACGGTATGATAGCATTTTTCGTTTCCCGAAATAGATCAGAACAACGTAGGGGAGAGGTTCAGTAACCATACAATGGAATACAACACGTTCCTCCCACGGAAACTAACGTGACATAATCCACGTGTTAGATCACATGAGCCTCGCCATGTTGAATATCCTACTAGTATCGAGTTGATGTGATGTTTCGTCACTTTCCTGTACCTGCTGATCGCTTTGACAGAGATGGGCAAAGAGTAAAGATGAAGTTTATTTCCCCATGATTCGATATTGTCATGAGCTGGATATCAATATACCCATGTAACAGACCAAAAGGCACTAATAACCTCTGGATAAGTTCGGGGGGAAACTTCGTTTATTTTGACTACGTCGATGAAAAATAAATAAAATCAGAAGTCCATTTTGTTCTTACCCTATTAAAACGACTTCCTAAAAGGCACCCGTAATTACGTCAAATATGTATCGGGTGAAGGTATGTAACCCATCATCAGTGGAAAGTAAGCTGGACATAAGATTTTAGGGAGGTTGCATGGACACCTATCAGTTAAAATGCTCTCTAGGAAAGAAGTGCAAACATGGGGTTTGTATTTGTGGTAAAATTTGTCATAAATCTAGAAGGATATTGAAGCGAATCATATAAGGAATGAAGTCCAGGAGGCAACTTTAAAGGAAGGTGTATTGGATGAGGAAGAAAAGTGTGGTAAGGATAGAAACCATTCTCATCTACAAGAAAACCATAACAGAAACATTTTGAAATGTAATAAAACCGCTCAAAAAGCAGAAACATTCATCACGTAAATAACCGAAAATAGAAGAATCCATAACGTTCTGAAAAATAATGCTAAAGATCAAATGAGGTATTAGTAGCAGTCAGTGCACTAGACCTCTCATCGAGCGGTACCCGTAGAAAAGGATTCTTTAAATTCAACTTGATTCCATAAAATTAGTTAAGCGTATTTTCGGACCTAACAGCTGAACAACTTTTCTCCAACGGCCTATTGATTTTGGTTCGATAATCTCCTTGGATTCTCGGTGTTTAGCCATATACTGAGATTTAAAATCAGGCCATGGAAGGTTCCATAACTAATAGCATCTATTCTGCGTCGGATCACACGTGAGTAGTCGTCTGCGCTTTTCTTTTCACGGGTACAGACCAACCGCGTTTTACTGATCTTTACGTATTTTGTGTTAATCTTGTAAGTCCATTCGGTAGAATTACAGCCAGTCCATTCTAGATTTCTTTCTATTTGATGATAATCATGCCAAGGGTTCACAGATAACGCAGTTCGAATGGACGTCTTTAGAGCTTACAAATCCCAGTCAACATCCTCAGCATACACTTGCTCGGTTCAGGCAATACAGTGAACCTATCGACTCCAGGATCACCTTTATGGCACGCATTATCAACTGAATCTTATTGAACCGAACAAACTACTAAGATTAACAGAACTTTTGACTTCTCGGACATTGTTCGTACACTGCGATGGCACGTTGGCTTCACTTGAACGTTTCGCTCTCACCCGTGAACCCGAACAGTCAAACTCCCCCGACTGTTAACGATCTGATCGGATAACTTTCCGAGATTCGCGCAACTTGTACACCATTCCTGACAGGAGATTGTCCGACCACCGGTTTGTAATGTTTGTAGTACTTTTCTTGTTACTCGATGTCCAGCCATGTGATGATGGCACCTCCACTGTGTGCAATCGAAGTTGACTAAGCATTCTAAAGACTCCAGACGATCGATAAGGTATCAGTCCTCTTTCATGCTAGCTGGACAAGCGGAACGACCCTCATTGTGATTAACGTGTACGATCGATCGATGAAAAAGCCAAATCCATCCTCCATGTTTGTTGGACACCGTTTAGAGATCAAGGAAAAAACTTTAGAGAGATACCAATTTTGGGAAGACGAAGGCCTCGAACAGCCATCTTCGCGACATTATCTCCTTCAAAATGCTTCGGTGGTAGGTACTCAATATGCATATGATTGACTCTGTACTTCTACTGGGAGAAATAAGCTGAACTGCTCTCGCACGAGCAAGCTACTTTTGGTGAAAATCGAAACACACGCTACAGAGTTGTGTAAGCGAGCATGTATGACAGTGAAAAAGCACTACTGGAATGTCCGCATGTTTTGCGCTCAACAGAACGCGCGACAAACTAACGGTGCACGGCCAGTTCCCACACGAACCTGACGTAGTAGTGTCGATTTGAAAGTTGTCCCAGTTTATTCCTGCTGATGTAAACGTTTGTTCGACCCTCGATGGTTGAGTTATGTAACATAATTTGGTGGTAGCCAATACCTCCACTTAAGAAGTTTGGAGCTCATTAAAGAAAAGAAGAAACCGAATTTTGTGTGACAAACAGGACGACAAAATGTGTGGTGGTTGAACTACAGATGCAGTACTGGCTTGACTTAGTGGCGATTTTAAAAATAACGGTAATCCAGGGCGTTTTGGTGACAGCACCTCACGACATTGGCAAATGATCAGAAAGTAACGTGTAATCGAAATCAGTATGTATACAATGGTCCAAAACGGACTAAAGATGCAGTCAGAAAATATCGGGAACAGATCATAAGTACACGTAAAACAATAAATCTGGATATATTGGGGAAAATTATTCAAAGATAACTGAATTATTCTCATAAATTCAGAGCACATCACGCCATTTCCGAAATTAACGGCATTTGCCCAGAGCAGCTTAGTCGTTGGTCTTCTTTTTCGGTTTATACGGTACCAAAGTGTGATGCTTAAATTCTTTTTTTCTGTGACTCTTTCTGAAGGGAAAAGAGAAAATAAGAGAAAACGAACCCATTAGGAACATTCGACGGAGGTTAAGCGTGATGTAGAGTATTAGTTATCATGTGTCAGACACCACATAACACACAATCACTGGGCAAGGATTAGAGCAAGACAGATTTGAATAAAAGGATTTTCACTGTATATCAAATAGAGATTATTTCAAATGCATATCCCTTATTTCCTATCACTCTTACTTTGTACCATGTGTGTCAAAGACTTGAAAAAATGAACACGAACAGAGTGATGCAGTCCATGAGAGGGTTAAGTGTGGTGTGGTGTCAAAAAATGCCCAACGATAAAGTCGAATGTTTCGTGGCAAGGAAAAGAGCAATAGCGTAGAACCAAAATTTCAGTCAGCTGCGGTGATTATTCGATTCCAGCTGAGTCGATCTGGAACAAAATAAACTCCTCTGACAGTGATACTCCTTATAAGGAAGGGCCCGGGTTTCGTGAAATGCAAGGGACGATGAACAACGGTGGAACATCATTTTTGGAAATTCACAATGATTTTGCTGTCCGACAACAGTGAGCACAGATCGTCGTATACCACAAGTTTCGCCCCCATCCTTTAAGCTGAATTCAGCATAAACAGAATGATGTTCATGTCTTAACGGAGCCGGTGATAACGCTCGGTGCGAAAGAGTAGCACAGATTCAGTGTACATGTTACTTGTAGATCCAAACGCGAATTAACGTTATTTCATCCTGGAAGGAAATAAAAGACTTGAAACGTGTAATTCACATACCATTCGGGATAAGGCTAGATGACCTCAAAACGAGGGTAAAGAAACACGAGTTTTCGGCCTACTTCATTTTCGGTTCTTACGCATTTCATACCAGAAGAACGTTTAGAGGTCAGTAATCGAACTAAAAACCGGCAAATTTTTACGGAATATCCGTACAAATGATGGACTATTGACTACGAAGACAGACGCTTCCATCTTGTTCCTGCGTTCGGTGGTACTCAGGGCTCAATTGTTCCAACTAGCATTTCCCAAGAAAACTCTCACGTGAAGAGTCTTCGTAAGATAAGTCAAGGTTTTTCGTTACGTCAATTATCTAAAAACTACATTACTTCTCTCGAGCGGCACTCTTCTAACTAGTTATAGCACACAAAACAGCCTCCAAATCCAAATGAAATGAAGTATATAAACTGTGCGTGCAAAGATGTACTACTCGCTTTGTATGCAGTATTACGATCAGCACACAGTCTGCGGTTCCCAACCTCCAAGAGTAGCAGCCAAACAGTGAATCAAGGTGTGGCTGCAAAACACCCGACCAAACTGTTGAGCTGTTTGACCACAAATCAGAAGTTTTCATCCGAACGTAACTATTCCATTTCAAATTGCGTGTTGGGTTCTGTGTAACCCCATTTCACCTCTACTCATTCCATTATTGAAATAAGAAATTTCTCAGCACGACGTTTGACTCGTGAAGTGATAACACTAGGTGGTAGATAGCTCCGCAGTCCTCCGGCTCACTACCATACCTTATCTATTGAAACCTGTTATGGTCCACCACTCCAAGTTTCAGGATCATGGTTCCCAGTTTCCTTCTCACAACATTAACACGATAATACGAAACCCCGCACGCCCTAACTCTCTCTCTCTCACTGTACTCAGTCGCAAGGCAAACACACAATCACCACTTTCATCAACATTCGCGGACTGAACCGCAACATTGATTCTGTACACCAATTTATCCATTCTTCTCCTCTCGCTCTTTTCTGGCAGATATACAGATCTCCATCTCGTCAGACTTCATCCACCTTCAAGTCTCTAGCTACACTTCTCAATCCTCTTTTCTATCCGAAGCTGGTGTCTGCGCCTTTATCCATCAATCAGTCACTGCCTCCAGGACCCCAAATATTAACTTTCCCAATCGTGAATTTCAGCTTATGTGGCTGAAACTCCGACTTCCTTCTCTCAACCGTTACTTTTGTATTTTGTATTGGTTCTCAAAAAGTGGGAACTCTTTCATCTTTAATATTTAATCTTCCAACATTGAACACTTGTTTGTGGCCGATCGCAACTAACATGCTATCCTCTAGGGAGATTTCACCATCCATAATCAGGAACAGATGGCACATTCGGTGAAGCCGAACATTTCACTTTGATCAACAATCTGAGTAAACTAGTTGATCTCCTCACATGTGTCCCTGATCGAGCTGGCGATCGTGCCCACACCCTCGACCTCATTTTGGTTTCATCTTGAATATCTGTACTCTCTCTTCACTAGGCTCATGGATCACTGTATTGACCCTTGTTCTATTAAGTTTACTAACCCTGATTCGCTACCCACCTCGAGACACATTCTGGCTCCACAAATCAGCCAAATGGGACGGCTTCTGTGATTTCCTAGCTTCTTATCCCTGGAACGATTGTTGTTACTCTTTGTATGTTTCCAAATCTGTGTCCAACTTCATCCACATTGTTCTTCAATGTATCTTTTTATTACGCACTTTTCCAAACTCGGTAAACCCAAATTCCGAGTGGTTTAACCAAATATACGATCGTGCTGTACACCTGAAACACAGCCTCCTGCCGTTCACCCATTCCTAACTCCTAACATTGTTCCGTACAAGCTAGGAACAGATGCTCAACAAACATTCACAGAACCAAAGAACGCTTCGTTCGCTGTAAAGCCGAAAATATGGCACCGTCCATCACATGTAGTCAAACATTTTAGTCCCTGGCTAATGAAATTTTCCGTAAGTTCTGCACTTCCGGCTTCCTCCTATATGCAATTCCTATGGTTATCTTGCATGTCAACCACACGAGAGAACTGAGGTTTATACTTCTCGGTGTGCCACCAACTCCACCTAAGCCGATTATTCTACTCCTCCATGTGCTTCTCATTTCACTGGCAACCCTTTTCTTTTTCTTATTATGGAATTCCGCCAAACATTGAGCTCTCTAAACACAAACACACTACCCGATCCAGACGGCATTCCGTCCGTTGCCCTCAAAATGTGTGCTCCCGAGTTGGTTCTTGTGTTAAGTCGTCTATTCAGTCTTTCTATTGAGCGTTTTACTTCTCTAACCCTTGGAAACACACTGTGATTCTTCCCATTCTCCTCACATTCGTTCTTTCGAATGTATTTCAAACCATCATCTCTGACCAACTATGCATGTTCCTCTAACGTGAAGGACTACTGAGCGACCGCCAGTATGAATTCCGAAAGAGTCGTTCCACCGGTGGACTACAGGTTATTGTCTCAAAATCCTGGTCAGCTCCACTCGATAACCCCGGAGAAACACACTTGGTCTCGCTTGATATCGATCGAGTTTGGCACGAAAGGTCTAATGGTGCAATTACGTATTTTCGGATACCCTTCAGCTCTCGTATCGTGGATATCAAGTTTCTTCAGTAGGCGAACACTATTCTTCTACCTGCCCCCCCCCTCCTCCAATTGTCTTTTGATTCCATCCACATGCGTTCCATAGAATCTTCTCTTCTTGGAGTGCTTATTACTTCTTCTTTCTTAGTTTTATCTCCTTGTGTTGCATGCAAGGTTGTTTTTTATTCCGCACCAGACGCTTCTTCACACCAGCTCATCTTCTTCGACTGCGCAAAGCTCAAATCCGCACTGCTTTTGGACACTGCACTCACGTGTGTGTGGGGGTGTTCGTCTTCTCTTTCGCTATTTGATCGTGTTTATCGATGATCCTTCCCTAACCTCCAGTCTGCAGTCACCGTTGGACAGTTTCTTCAGTCCCTTCTCTACTGGTACTATGTTTTTTTGTTTTTGGGACTTGATTCGTCAGTGCCTCTCCCTGTAACTTTGCCCGTCCATCCAGTACACAGGCATCTAGTTGTTCTTATCAGATTTCAGCGACCAGGTGTCGTACCTTTCTGTTCCAATCCCCTTTTTTCACCGAGCTGATGCGGAACATCCTCCCACTTTATACCCCAGCTCCCAACTCACAACCTCAAACTCTTTAGACGTAGAATCAATAAGTTGGATCTTACTTGAGTGCTGCCCTACTCTCCCTTGTGTAGTATGCTGTTTGCCTATGGAGGTTTTCCCTTTTTACTATAACTCGCATTGTATATATTAAAAAGGTATATTCAAATAATGTATCTCTATTTAACCAAAAGCGTAACAACACATGCGCAGATCTACGTAAAAAACCTCAGAATATGTAGCACTTACTTCAAACAGCGATCGCACAACAGGCCTTCACATTGCACACACCGGATTGTGGCATCCTCTTCACACATGAAACACCATGGAAGTTCATCATCATCATCACTGTCGATATCATTACCATCTTTATTGGATTCTTTCTCCGGATTCAAGTCCACGTGTCCACAAGCTGAATCGATTTTGGCCTCCTCCACATACTAGGAGTAAAGTGGGATGATTGGCATGCAGTGAGCGAGCGAGAAGGAGGCGGAAATAAATACTGTTAAGATCAGTGAGTTATTATGAAATAAACTGAAAATCAGTATACGATAAATACGGCTTCGGTCGATTACAAGAGTTTCTTTCCAGAGTCGCCCCTTGCTTGAGATCAAACACAAAACTCACCCATTGCCACACTTTTCACATGTGTTACACAGTGAAAGTGTTTCTCTTCCCTAGTTGAGAAGTGACACGCATTGAAAGAACAAATAGAAGAACAGACTCTACCATGGTGAATTCCATAACTACATGAAAGATGTTATCAATAAGCCTGAAGAGGAATTCTACGATGCTCGGGGTTTATGCGAAGACAGAGAAAGGGAATTGGGAGGCTTCGCTTGGTGGCATCTTTCAATCGAAATCGTTCACTTTAAGTTGTGATTAATGAATAAAACGGGGACCCGGAACTTGGTTATCAAGTAATGATCTCGTAAATCAAGTTCGCTTTGGTCTTTAAATACAATGACTTGTCACATGTTATACGAAAGGACAATCTCCTCTTCCACCTTCATTCTCCTCGCTTCAGTTCAACGGCGAACCGAGTCGAACAGAGTGAGAACAAGGGACACAAATAGTCGGTGGAAAACGAACGGGTACAAGCAGAACACCGATACTCCACAAGCACTGATGATATCACCTCGGCTGGTGATGAAACGTTTGCAAACAAATTGCCAAGCTCGGCGAACAGGCGAAATGGAACATGTTATCCCTTTTTGGTGTTCCTTCCCTTCCGGACGCTGATTGAACCCTGGAGACGCAATGCACATAAACGATTATCGATGGGGATCCAATCGATCAGAGAGGACTCAGTCCTGTTAGTGTACAATATCTACCCCTCACTGACCTACAGAACGGGCGTCGCCGTCAACTGATGTGTGAAGAACGTATCTCGAGGAGAAATCTGGCGCGCACAAGTGGCTTATAATAGTACGATCGTGGATTCGAGTTTCCGACACGCAACAAATATCACCAAATAAGCTTATTGTTGTATCAATCCTCCCGTTGAAGGCACTCAGATTCAGTAAATGACGATGCTTCAGAATCTGCAGTCCATTTCGTGGGAAATTACTTACTCTGACAACGACCTTAGTCGAGCGACATACAGGTTGCTTGAGGGACTATTACAGGTCGGAAGAAGGGCTGGGTACGGAAGACAAAGAATTAAACAAAGGTTGGGATATTTGAGCGGTGGCCCACTTATCACTACCCACCCAGCTCGATGCAATGGGTAGTGCGGTTCTGATTATCCTGTGCGACGAACGATGCAGTATGGAATCATTTATAGTTTGTGTATGCATTCGAGTTTGATGGACGAGTACTGCTAGTGTCCAGTCACTAAGCAGAAGAACAATTAGGGTTCTCGTCTAAAGCCTTTAGTTCTAACGAGAACCTAGACGCAAGGCAGTAGGTGAAGCGAAGTGGATGCCAATTTACTTGGATCGATTACTTCTCTATATTTTACCGACTGAAACACAAATTCTAGCAGAACCCCTAACCTTGAGGACCAAGAGACTGGGCTTCGTCTGACTTCTACCCTTCCAGGCATGAGTAGATCTTCGGTTTGTCAAAAGTTGTTCTGTGCAACTCGTTGAGTCAGAGCCATAGCATCATATCAATGTGCGGTTTCGTCGTGACGGTAGGCAATGAGTAGGGCTTCCTCAACAGAAACCGTTTGAGACGCTTGGTCGTATGGAAGCGTTTCGTGCGGCGAAAGGAAAGATTGATCAGCCGCAACCCGGGACACCCATCCACGACCATACTATATGTATAATACATATATCACAGATGAAGTATTAAAAAAATTCAATCGTGGTACTACCTGATTGATCAGCCGCGATACTTTCTCGCCATCGCAAATTTCTTCAAACCTATTGGAAGTGTCATCTTTTGAGGACCCTATACCCAATAGATTCTGTACACGCAATTCCAGTTCCTCTTGAGATGGGATATTTCCTGCATGTTAAGCATTTCGGTGAATTTTCTCACTTGGTGGTAGATCATTCATCAGCTTCTTTACTCTGTCTTCCAAATCATCATTTGCTGTGGGTAAAGTGTTTACATTTGAGACCCGCTGTTCTTTGTTTGTCGTAATGGTCACTCCCTTAATATATTGCGACGGGTCGATTGAGCAGCGCTCCAGACGTCTGGATCATCGAGAAGTAGATGCGTGTCAGAACCAGTTGTCTTACTCGAGTAGAATTTTCGGAGGATCTGGTACACTCGTGACATTTTGTCGTTGAGGGCTGAAAATTAAAACACTTGAAAATGAGTCTCACTTGATCGCCATATCATAACATTTAAAACATAGCTTCAGAGTTCTCACAGTGGGTGCAGTAATTTTGTGTCGATATTTCAAGCATTGGGAGCAGAATGTGTATCTGCACTGATCACATGGACGCTAAAATGAGCACAAAAACGTGAGAAACACAGAATACGAGATTACCGCCGGAGTGAACGCGGAGAACTGTTTCCCACATTGATAACACGGCATGCTGTAGAAGGACAGCACAGCATACAGGGCACGAGCTAAGAAAAAATAAATATAAATCGGTACTTCCGAAGAGAATGTTATAACACACAAGAAATATAACTGATCAACTATTTTCAAACAACTTGATACAATAACTGCCGAATACAGAACTATTTCAATAACGACTTATAGTTGACACTTTCATTGCCCTGCCCTGGCTGTGACTCATATTTCAACAGCATGGTGTGTGCCAAATACGGGAAAAAGATGGAACCAATTCGATATATTAAGTTTATAAGCCAGTGAGCTACCCTGGTCTGCCTATCTACTTCGTACCTCTATATATTTTGTATCTCAACGCATGTTATGCCTTGTATTTTCCAGCTCACGTACTGTCACTATAGGAACCAAGCGGGCTTTTACAGGATCTGAATCGGCAAGAGCAGAGCTGTATGCTACCGAGCGCATCCCCATGTCGCGGATAGGGGAACGGCCACTAACTAGCGGTTGACTGTGAATAACGTGGGATTACTCTCACTGACGATCAGCGGCAGTGCTCGAGGATATTTTTATTACACAATGTGAATCACAGTAAAAGGGGAAATCCCCATGGACAAATAGCATACTGTAAAAGGAGAGTAGGGGAACATTCACGTAAGATCCAGTCTATTGATTCTGCATTTAAAAAGTAAGATTGTAAGTTGGGGAAAAAACAGCAAGTGGGAGGGTGTTCCAAAGCTTGGTAGTACGGGGAAAAAAGAAGATTGGAGCAGAGCAGTACGGCATCTGGGAACAGAAATCTGATAAGGATGACTAAATGCTTATGTACAGGATTGGAGGGTGAAAGTTGCAAGAAGAGGAACTGTCGAAGAACAGAAGCAAAAGTAGTGACGGTAGAACAGGGACAATGAAGTAACTGACCGATGATGGGCTAGCGACTGAGAACTGGATGTTAGGGAAGGATCATCGATTAGCCGGATGGCCTTTCGTTGAACACAATCAAGGGAAATGGAAGAAAAAGACCAACCCACATATGACTACAGTATTCAAGAGCAAGGAGGATTTGAGCTTCGTACAATAGAAGAGCTGGGGTGAAAAAACGTCTGGCCCGAAAGAGAAATCCAACCTTCCGCGCAGCTTGAGAAGCAAGCTTAGCTATAAAAGGGGACCATCATAAAGGAGAAGTTATAGGCAATCCAAGAGGGGAAACAGATTCTGTAGAACGTCGCTGGGTGGAATTAAAAGATAAAGGGGGGAGAATGAGTGGTGTTTTAAAGAAATTGAAATAAGAGAGGTCTTAGAACTATTGAGTGAAACGTGCTTTTCAATGCCCCAGGAGGTGTTCGAGATCGGAGTCCACTGACACATTAACTACACTACGGTCACCATCCATGTATTTTTGGGCATGGCGAGCAGGGCGGTAGGAGAGGAAGTAGTGGAGGGTGGCGGCATCAGCAAAGGAATAGATCGGGTTGACAGTTTGGGAAAGGAGATCATTAATAAACAGAAGGAAGAGGGTGGGCGCAAGTAATGAACCTTGGGGAACACCAGTGTTCACAGGGAATGGCTGAGATAGAACCCCATCAACTCGGACGGAGATGGTTCGCTTATTGAGGAAACTTGATATCCATGATACGAGCGCGGTCAGACGTGATAGTTTCAAATACTTTCGAAAGAACAGATGAGGGAAATGGGTCGGTTTTTGGGGTTGGAAAGGTTGCGGTGTTTGGGAATGGGAAAAATCACGGCGTTTCCAGGGGGTTGGAAAAGAAGAAAGTTGGAGGTGAAGACTGAAAAGACTATGTAAAATCGGAGCCAGCTCGAGGGCATACATTTTGAGGACGATGGGTGGAATACCGTCCGGACCGGGTGGTTTGTTTGCGTTTAGAGGGCGCAATGTTTGACGATTTTCCTAGTGCTGATATGAGGTAAAAAATAGGGTTACCAGTGAGGAAGGAAGAAGGTGGTGTAAAAAAAATGGGGTAAGTTGGAATTGGCGGCAAACTGGGAAGCAAAAACCTCAACTTTCTCAAGTGGTTGACATACAAGATCACCCGAAGAATTACAGATAGGGGGAAGTTGGAAGGGTAGAAATTACGGGAAATTGCTTTGGCAAGGGACCAAGACGTTGGGCTACCGGTGGCGGACGCGACCAAGTTTTCGGCTTTACGGCGAACGAAGCGTTCTTTGGTTCCGTTAATGGTCGTCGAGCATCTGTTCCAAGCTTGCACGAAGCGATGGTGGGAGTTGGGGGTGAGCGAGCGGCGCCAGCGGCGGAAGGCTGAACATTTTAGGTGTATAGCACCGTCACATGCATGGTTAAACCACTCAGAGGATTCGGGTTTGCCAGGTTTGGAAAAGTGCGGAATAAAAAGATGTACACCTTGAAGAACAACGTCGGTGAGGTTGAAGACAGATTTAGAAACATCCGAAGAGAAACAGCAATCGTTCCAGGGATAAGCAGCTAGGAAATCACGGAAACCGTCCCAGTTGGTTGAGTTGTAGCGCCAGAATGTGTCTCGAGATGGTTGGTGTCTCGGGGTTAGGAAACCTATTAGACCAAGAAACAAGACTGATCTGATGAGCCAAGAGGAGGGAGGATACAATATCTGAGAAAGAGGGGACCGAAGTGAGAATTAGATCGAGGGTGTGGGCACGATCGCCAGCTCGAACAGGGACACGTGTGGGGAGGTCAACTAGTTGAGTCAGGTTGCTGACTAAAGCGAAGTGTTTGGCTTCGCGCCCCAAAGAAGAAGCAGCAGATGAATGTGTCAACCAGTGCTGATTGTGGACGTTAAAATCTCCCAAGATGGTAACATGGCAGTTGGGGTCGGTTGCAAACAAGTGTTCAACGTTCGAAGATAGAAAATCAAAGATGGAGAAGTCGCCGCTATTGGAGAACGATACAGAACACAAAAGTAATGAATAAAGGAAGTCGTATGAGATTTTACCATTGTCGTAAGGCTTGGTCAAACTATTCATGACAATCAGCATATCGGTTATGCAGGATCTGCCGGGTAGGAATCCACGTAGGAAAGGCGAGAGTATGCTGTTGGCGTAGAGGTGTTTCAGGACAGCCTCCTTTAGGATTCACTTAAGAATTTTTCTAGGTACACTAGTCAAGGATATAGGACAGTAGATTGCTGGAGGAAACCTACTGCTTTTTTGTATATAGGGGAAAGAACTGCGTCTTTCCAATGAGAAGGAAACATACCCTCGTCCATACATTGCTGGATGAGTAGCGTGTATGGGCCAGCTGAAATGCTCACCGATTCTTCAAGAATTCTGGGATGTATTTTGTCAGGCCCCAAAGAGCAGTAGGGATCCCAGTTGCGTAGTCATTTCTCTACGTCTAGCCGGGAAAACGCAACTCGACTAAGCATGGATTTTAAGAGGGAATTGTAGTACTATGTTGTTAGTGGTGAGGGTAGAGCTAAAGGTGATTTGGTAGTGCTTTTGAAACGTATTTGCAACCTCTGAAGGGGCAGTTACAACTATCCCGTCTGGCAACTCATGTCATCAGCGTTTTCACAAAAGTCCCGAAACTATCTTTTCATGCATACAGACTGTACCACAATCATATTCTTAAATTTTTGATTGCCTGCATTCTTCCACACTGGCTACACTACTCCCGATATTTATCCCTGGTCTGAAAGAGAAAGACTTCACTTTATTTCCCAGATCCCTAAAACTTTTGTTCCGCTACAATGGAGTTAAAAGAGTGGTGTAGGTTGATTTATCTATTTCCAAGCATCTTGACGCTTGTGATACCGTTATTGATAGGATTAAACGTGATCAAGGGCACCGTCTGCACCGAGATATCGTGAAAGCCCTGCCGAACCCCCGAACTCGCCCCAAATATAAACTTCTTCTTGCGCGTACTTCCACATATAGAAACAGTGTAATTCCATACCTTGCTCAGTTAATCGTAAGACTATTCTCACCATCCTCAAGGAAAACCTTTTGCACTAATTTTCCCCTCATTTACTAAAGCATAGAATTTCTTATATTGTCTGTTTTGGTTGTTCGCAATTATCCACGATAAAAATCGTAGATTGCTGGAACTTTACCCTTTGGGTGCATAAAGCGTTTCTTGACTTGACTTGAAAAAGAGGGTGGGTTGTGCCACGCAGACGACGGATATACTTATAGAAGAATGATCTGCTGTTTTTATGGGTTCAAGTATTGCCCTTTGAATGCATTTGGTGATCTTTACTTTTCGAACGGCCCATGTTCCTGACCCTTTTAAAAGCCAGGCCGTCAGCTTCCAAACCTGTTTATCTGTACCTTGCAGAATTGAGATCACTCATCGAGAAGCCTGCGGATGGGGCGAGGGAGAAGTGGAGCTAGCATGTGAGAGACCACGGGGGAAGAGTCGCTCGTCAGTTGAAACGACGATTTGTTCAATAAGTTCAGTGAGGTTATCAACGGACAGGTTCAGTGGTAGACAGTTAAATTGTCTCAAGAAATTCGTTTTGGGCATGGAAACCGGTATGCTTGAATCTTACCGTTTGTGGACGCTCCATTTTGGCGTCTCATTCGGTAATATATTCAAATAATAGGACAGCGTGGTTACTCTTTCCGAGGGGTGAAAAATAGTTTAGCTTGTCACTCTGCTTATCTTTGTTTGTTATTACTAGATCTAGCAGTGAGGGGAGCTGATCCGGACGGAACTTCGTAGAAACTTGAAACATTGGATCCCCTTTATCCAATACGTTAGAACAGAGAGAAGAGAAATACTCCGAGATGTTAAAATTTCTTTTAATCATCTCAGTTGCTACAACGTAAAACAATCTGATATTTATACAAGAAACTTTTGATAACCACGGTGTTTGAATGGACAACAGTTCGGAGGGAGAATCGGAATCCGTGTCACGGCAAGTTGATTGATTACGTCAAAAACTTTTGCGCGTATTAAATTGGATTACGTAACTTGATTAACATTGCTTCGCTGAAGGCTAAGAGCATTAGACTCATGTAACGCAACAACGGCTTGAACGATAAAAGTGGGTAAATGATGTGTCCAGTTGTCACTGTACCATAATTTGTTTGGCACAGTCTGGCCTTAGACGCGTGTGAAATATAATATATATACCCTTCGACTCAAAACAGGCTTTACCTGTTTACGCGGAATTATCACTTGTCTCAGTGAGTTACGCTACTTCGAGGCACGTGTACAACTTTCCCCGCAGTTCTCGCTGTATAAACCGTTGGTCACGCGTCGTCCGACTTCTTAAACTTTCAAAGCAATAACCTTATTGTTCTCCACCGTATTCGCGAGCTATATATATAAGGCGAGCTGCACCAACCAAAGCCAATGTTGAAGCCAGCTTTTTCATGCATCTACGCTACGTCATGGTCTGACCGCCGCGAAGCTTCTCCCAACCTTGCCCAACTGCTGCCGGTTCGCTGCCATATCCCTCAATGTCTCCAACCACCCAGTTGTAGAGTCTTTCGGACCCCAACCTGGAAGG